CCCAATTCCCCAGCACTGTTCCCATCCCCCAATTCCCCAATAAAAATCTTTAAAAAAAGAAAACAAAACATTGAAGATACAAAGGCCCATTCTTAATAGTCAACTATGTAACAATGCACCTAACACTCCCCTTCCACCTGAGTTAGTGAAGGTATCCTTTTCCACTGAGTACAGGACTCGACTAGCATTCATATTACATATAGTTTATATTATGTATATAAACTATATAAATAGGAATACATTCTAAAAAAGGAATGAAAATATAGATAACATCATTCAACAGAGACTGAGCAGTGCTCTACAAAGCTGTTCAAATTACAACGAATGAATGGTAAAATCCAAAGAAATAGGATTTTAAGAATGGCTCATGCTGAAAAACACCTTGCCAGAAGTCACCTAAAAGGTGGATTTCCTCTGAAGCAGACTCCCATAGTAGTGAACACAAAGGAATCTCATTTTTAATCAGCGCACTCAAGACAAGGGCTTCCCATCTGAAAAACAAGTTCTGAAGTTGGCAGAAAGGGGGTTCCAAACCTGACCATCATATCTACAGAACAGTGTTCATAACTGAATTTGTTCCTTTGCCTTATGACAGGCACAGATTAAAGCAAGAAATAAGCCAAATGCTATTATTACAGGCAAGTCACAACAGGCAAAATATGTAGTATACTCTTGACTGCAGTTACCTTATTCCAATGCTAACTAACAGATTCTCTTTAAACAGCAAATAATTTATCTTCAGAGAGCACAGGGATACAGTGTGTGATTAAGAGAATAACAACATCAAAAAGATTAAGGCCAAACATTCAAAACCCATCATTTCTGAAGGAAACTCGAGAAAATGCTCATGCTCATTTAAGTAGCAAATCTGTAAAACACTTGACACACCTGTGAGTTCATCTGCTTTTTGATGTAGTATAATTTCAACTGGTGAACAAATAATATAACAATACAATTTCAATGAACAGTTAACTGGAAATTAGAAAGACAAAAGTTTTCTCAACACGTTTAATTTTCACATAACTCTTTTGGATTGAAAATTTACAATAAAACAAAGAAGCACACTAAGGCTTTGATTTTCTATCAAATCTGTGGATCTTCCACCGAAGTTAGCATGCCAGATATCAAAATAAAAGTTCAATTATATAACAAATAACTTCCATCTTTAAGTCAATATTTTGCAAAAAGCAAAAATTCACAATAGGAACATTCAATTCTGATTCTCAACATCATCTGGCTTTCAAAATTCTATTAAAGCTACTGATTTTTATGTTTTTACATCATTGGTTATACATAGATCAATGTTTTACATAGGATAGCAATCAAACCACACAACCTAGTTATAAATAGCAATGAGGGTATTCATGGTGAGTAGGGAAAGGCAAAAGTACTTACCAAAAAAGGGTATCTGAATAGCCAAAAAGCATATGAAAATGTAAACACGAGAAGCTACTGGGGAAACGTACACTACCGCCACAAAGATACTGTCCATGCACGCACTCTAATGGCTAAAATGGGCATAACTGACGGTGTTGACAAGGTAGAGCAACACTGCTCTGCTTGTGGGGGTGTAAAGTAGACCAGACACTTTCTAAGAAGCATCATACATCCTATATTCAGCAATTCCACTCCTAGATTTTTCCCCACAAAAAAGGAAATGTGTACCTGACTTGTACAAAACTGTTCATAATCCCCAGGACTGCATCTGTAGGAGACCCGACCAACAAAATGTGGCATGTTCACTGAACGGTGTCCCATCAGTGATCATACACAACCACTGCTACAACAAATGCAAAAACAGGTAAGTCCCCAAAACACTATGCTGCCTGAAAGGAGCAAGAGACAAGAGTATACCCTCTGAGACTCCATTTTTATGAAGTTCAAAAACAGACAAAACTAATCTATGATGATCACAACAGAAAGAGTAGTTGTC